ATATACAGCTACTTTCACTTAATTCAATGAGAAGAAAGAGGTGTACTAATTAATAGTGTTTGGACAGGATATCCTGTCTGCTTCTTGTACTATGGATAACCACTAAGAAGATAACATAGTACAGGTTGGCCTTGAACTTACTGTGTAGCCACAGCTGGCCTCAAACTCAAAGCAATCCACCTACCTCAGCCTCCCAAGTGCTAGGATTATGGGTTTGCACCACTACACCTGGCTACAGGAAAACAGGGGCTGGGGAGATAGCTCAGTAGAATAAGCGCTTGCGTGGCAGTGCAAGGTCCAGAGTTCAATCCCTGGTCCCACCAAAAAAATCCAAACAAGCAGGAGAACAAACATAAGTTTAGTAACATGTATATCTCACATATTCATGGGAGATAACGGAAATAGTAAATAAATCTCAGAGGGATGACTTAAAAAGTGTGGAAGAGTCCCAATCATAATGAGATGAGTAGAAACAGCAAACTAGATAAAAAGATTCATTAGGCAGCTTGATAAGTTTCTAGTGCTTATCATGCTTTTCCCTTTCTGGTACAGTTGAAACAGCTTGGAAAGTAGGGATTTTTGTTACAGATGAAAATTTATCTTAAAATTTTGTCTCTCCTCTCCTCATCATCTTGTCTCTCTCTTTCTCCCTCTCTCTCCCTCTCCTTCTCCCCCTTCCCCTCTCCTCTTCCTCCCCCTCTCCCTCCCTCTCCTCTCTCTCCCCTTCTCCCTCTCCCTCCCCTCTCCCCACCCCCTCTCTGGGCTAATGCAATGAGACCCAATATCCAATAGTCACACTTCAAAAGAAGTGAGGCTTAATTTTTCTTTTGGGGAGGGGTTTACCAGGGATCAAGTTCAGGACCTTATGCTTGCCAGGAAGGTGCTTATGCTTCTATTAGGTTAGACTTTTACTTGTGCAGTTATTCTTCTGTGGTTGTCTCTTGCGCCTTTATTTAGTTAGTGCCACTGCCTGTTGATACAGTTTCTACATTTAGCTTTTAGATATCCTCAGTTGCAGCAAAAGAAATATTTTTTAATATAGTTTGGAGGTCTTATTTCAGATGGTTTTAACATTGTAAAATGAAATACTTCATTTGCAGAACATGAGAAGACAGGAATGGGGTTTGGAGTCTGAAGAAACAGGGCAAGTTCTACAGGATCCTCCATGGAAAGAAAGCAGATAGACGTGTTATAAGTCAACAGACACTCCAGCACTACTACCAAGGTATATCATAACTGTGCCATTCTCTTACAGTATTTCTTTGCTGGAGGACGGAAAACTGATCATGAACTGAATCACACTGGTAAGAGCACTTAGTTTGAAATAGTTGGCCAGGGTACAGAGTTCATGCTAAGTAGGCTGAAAGTGTCCTTTAATATGGCAGCAATCTGCTAGAAGGTAGACCATATTCTAGTTGGACTGGATGGATGCTTTTCAAGCGTATGGTCCACGGCTTGAGTATAAGTAACTGGAGTCCAGTGAAGAGTAAAACTAGAGAGAACAGGTGGTGTATCGGAAGTTTTTCTTTTTCACAGAACTGGGGATTGAACTCAGGCCCTTGTGCTTGTCAGGGAAGCACTTGTTCTACTGAGCCATCTCCCCGGCCCCTGCAAATTTCTTATAAAGAGCCAGGTGCTAGACAGTTTAGATTTTGCAGGCATAGAGTATCTCACAACTGTTTGATTCCTGTGGCAGCATGAAAGCAGCCAGGGAACAAATGAGCATAACTATGATCCAATAGAACTTTATGTGCACTGAAATTTGAATTAGCTGTAATTTTTATATGTCATAAATTATTCTTGGGGCCAGTTATGTAGCTCAGCAGCACAACAACTGCCTGGTAAGCGTGAGGTCATGAGTTTGAATTCTGGTACAAATAAATAAATAAATAATTTTTTTCTTTTTGGTCATATTGAGAAAGGGTCTCACTAAGCAGTTCAGGGTGGCCTTGAGCTCACCCTGTAGCACAGGCTGGCCTGAAACTTGCAACGATTCTCCTGCCTCAGTCCCTTAAGTGCTGGAATTATAGGCGTGCACCCCCACACCCAGGTCATAAGTTATTCTTTTGATTCTCCTCACCTCTAACCACTTAACATGTTTTTGCCATCTGAAATCACTGGTGGTACATGCATGACTATCTCATGGGATGGCTTATGGTAGAAGTGGGACATCTATGTGTGTGTACTACTGGTGGTTCAAGCCAGCTTGGCACTAAGGCACATAAATCATACTCACACTGAATATGTTAAAAATGTAAAAACCATTCTTAACTCTTACCCTGTCACAATACAGAAACTGCTGATGAGCTGGCTTTGGCCAGTGAATTATTTTTTGTCAGTCCTGGCTTAAATTATTATAGAAGTCAAAGTTTTAACTATAAAATGTAACTTAGATTGTTGTTTTTAACTTTTTTTCTCTTTTTTGAGACTGGGTTTTACTATGAAGTTCAGGCTGGTCTTGAACTCACTTTGTAGCCTAGGCTGGCCTCAAACTCATGGCAATCTTCCTGCCTCAGCCTCCCAAGGGATAGAGGTTATAGGCATGCACCACTATGTCCAGTGTTTTTTAACATTTTAACCAAAGCTGATCAGAGTCAAACAGCACAAACAGCACAACACTGGATGTTACTCAGATCAGTTTTACATTGACTTTTGCCTATATAGTTTGAAATTAACCTCAGAATGCCAGTGATTAAATACCTGATGAAGGTGGGATATGGCTCAGTGGTGTGTTATAGCTAATATATGCAAGTCTCTGGGTTCAAGCCCCTGCACCAATTTTTTTTTAAAAAGGCTTTAATTGTGGGTAATTGATCTTTATTTAATAAAATTTTAAAATATATTACTGATTTCTAAAAAGATATGATTTTGCTAATAAAAACTGTAAAAAGTTTAAAAAGTACATGTTTAGAAACGTTTCTTCTTTCCCATTCCTGTCAACATTAATTCCTCTGCCCCAGGATGGCATACTATAAAATTATTTTAAAGAAAACAGGGCTGGGGAGATAGGTCGGCATTCTAAGCACCTACCTGGCAAGCACAAGGACCTGGGTTTTGATCCCTGGTACCACATGCTGTGCTGGCCCCAGACCCCCCAGACATACCGTACTAGCCACCAGGCATGGTGCTGCATGTCTATAAGCTCAGCACAGAGAAAGCTGAGGTTGGAGGATCACTACGAGTCCGAGCTGCGAATGATTACATACATACGTACATATATATATATATATATATATATATATATATATATATATATATATGTAACTACTGTTCCATACTAGACAAGACATGACAGTTAATGCCTGTAAGCCTATCTACTCAGCAGACTGATGACAATCTAAAGTTTGAGGCCAGCCTGGGCAAACAAACAAAACCCAGTCTCAAAAAATAAAAATGGTTGGGAACAGCTAGGTGCTAGAGTACAGTACTTCCTAACCATGCATAACACCCTGGGTTCAACCCAAAGTACCACAAAAAACGAATTAAAAAAACACTGCTCTATACTAACAACTGTTCACTGAACAAGTGTAGTACAGCACACACACCCTTCTACATTGTTCTAACCTATTCATCTTGTTCTATAAATCTATAGAAGTTGAATTTGAGTCCTAAAGTATATACATTCATAATTTGGTTTATATTGCCACATTGCCTTCCACTGAATCAAATCTATACTATCACTATCAATGTCTCGAGTACCTATGTCACTATAGGCTCACCAATAGTCAAATTTTTTATTACAATCTGGTGAGCCTTATAAATGTGTTTTTCATTTTATTAACTTTTTCTTTTTTTTTTTTTTAATTTATTTATGTGTGTGTGTGTGTGTGTGTGTCCAGCTCAGCCCACCAGGGGGCGGGGCTGGCTGGCATGTGGTGCTGGGGGATTGAACCACGGTCCATGTGCTTTGCTAAGCTTGTTCT